CTCCAGTTTTCTACTTGCTCCAGTTTTCTACTTGCTCCGACTGGTCCTCCCATTCATCGACCCCACGTCAACATCACCAACGAACTTGATTAGCAACATAGATGAAATCAAACTTCAAAAACATACCTGAATTTCAAGTCAGAGGCGGTCGAAGAAGGTGGTGCGATGGTTGGGGGTTCGTGATTCCGCTCTAACCTTATGAAGTTGCGTTTCTTCTACATCCAACTAAAAACACAGACGGCGTCGAAGTTGAGCTCGACAAGATCCCCAGGTAAAGCATCTTTTCAAGCCTTTATCAATTTTGATTATTTTTCTTTTCTAAATTCCCACAATCGCCTACATCGGTTTCGATTTAGGGTTTATCATATTAGTTTTAGGTTTGAGATTTGTTGTGTTGTGTTTTGTAGATGAAGATGATAATTTTTGTCTTATGGTAAACTTTGAAGGCTTCTTCGACAAGATCCCCAGGTAAAGCATCTTTTCAAGCCTTTATCAATTTTGATTATTTTTCTTTTCTAAATTCCCACAATCGCCCGCATCGGTTTCGATTTAGGGTCTATCATATTAGTTTTAGGTTTGAGATTTGTTGTGTTGTGTTTTGTAGATGAAGATGATAATTTTTGTCTTATGGTAAACTTTGAAGGCTTCTTAATCTCTTGAAGACTTCACATATTTGTTATTAATGTATTGCAACATAACGAGAACTAATCTATATGAAAATGAGTTTGATCAAATTGTGAGAGTTAACATAAGCAACAATCTACATGAAATTGGAATTACTATTAACAGATCAGGGACCGATGGACAAAATTTCTAACTTTTTGTGGATTTGACAATGTTAAAAAGACATGAATGCCCTCAATGCTTAAGCTAATTGTTGTGTATACTATGTATTTTCAGGGCACCTGGTGGAATGTCGAAAGCAAAGGGGAAAATCTATTTGTTAAAAGTTCACAAATCCAGATCTCCTGGTAAGAACCCATTTTCGAATGCTGATATCCATTTACCTCACGAACAATTTCCAACTTTATGTAAGTACTATCTGTTATTATTGTGTTTTTCTTACATGAATTCGATGGAGATTAATGAAACTAGAGAAACCATCATCAATCGATCTTTCAGGTTCTTTCTCATTCTATTAATAATTTGGATATCAGGTGTAATGTATTGTTGCAATTTAAAAGGTTTTTTTTTTGGGTTATGATTGTTGTATAAATTAAAAATTTATGTTTTATATTGGTGTGTGCTTCGATGTTCAAATAAATGGAGATCAACATTTAAGTTTTTCATTTCTCCCTGTGGATTCTGATCAGATATGCACATAACTGGTCCGTGTAATTTCTAGGTTACTTGAAAGTTATTTGTAGATGAAAAATTGGATCGAGGGTTACTATGGGCTTGGACATGATGTATATATCTTCAGGTGATAGATATTTTAATAATAAACGGCTGAATTGCTTTTATTTTGTTCGTTTTATAATAGATATTTGAAGATAAACTATAAATATTTGTAAAATTATTAAGTTATCCGTTTCTAATTTCATGCTTCTGAAGCTGTTCAAATCTAAGTTTATATAGATGATAAATTATATATGTTAAGATGTTTATGTTTAGGCGACAAATAGTTTTAAAGTATTATTACAGTTATTGAAAAATGTGCTCTTTGGTCATTTTACATATATAATCGGAATCAGCCAAAACACTAAAAAACAACTTATAAGTTTATTATGCTTTGAATGTTCATCTAATTATATAAGTTATATTCATTTACTTAGTATATTGTATATTTTGTCTTTTTGAAATTTGTCCTTTATGTCTATTAGTCTGTATTTCCTGGTATATAATTTTGATTAATGCTACAATATTGCAGGCTTAGTGGTTTCACTTCATCAATTCCGAGAATTTTTGTTACCGAACCGGACCAAGGCATTGTCAATGAAGGTAGCCCGGACCAGGATCTAAAGGTTTTTTTAGGTTATCAAGAAAGTACTCCACAAATTAGATTTCCCAAAATGCCCTTCCTATATCTTTTTTAATGAAACATTCCTGCACACTTTATATTAAAGGATGAATACTTAATGCCTATAATTTACATTTCAGGTCGCTGACACAGAGCAACATCATATATAAACATTGTTATTAATGGGGAGACCTTATTATCCGTTTACACAGTTTTAGAGGTTATTTCTGATATTCTATCCACATTAGCAGCCTAGAAGTTGGACTATAGTAGTTTGTTATTTAAATCGCTTCCATTGGTCTGGATCATCGCTAACCTATTCTGATGACAATTTTCCAGTCTGTTAAATTTTTGCAGAATAAGTTATCTCAAGTTACTCTCAAATTTGTTAAATATGTTGCGTTAAATATGCTGACAAATTGGTAAAAAAACTGTCAAATGGTTAAAAATGTTGTCGAAAGGTTGAAAATGCTGTGAAATTACTTAAATATGCCATCAAATTAATGGTTTCAAAATGTTGTCAAATTGCTTAAACGTGCTGTCAACATGCATGCTAAATATGCAGTCAAACACTACTTCCTTGAAAATGCTGTGAAATTGCTTGAACACAAAGTATAATTAATATTAAAATCAAGGGTTCAATGTTACCTCTCAGGAAAATGGTGAATTTTTTTTATGTCCTTTTTATTTTTTTTTATGATATATCAATATTACGTATGTTTTGATTTATTATCTTTTTTTTGAAGCACATCTATGGGACACAGGAACACGGAACAACATACAGAACAAGAAAAGAAAACAAAGTGAACATCTCTCTTTTTTTCTATTCATTTCTTTAAATTAATATTTAATTCTTTAATTAAATTATTAATATAATCAAGTTAGAGAGGTCTAGAATCTTAAGCATCTTACCTATTTGTTTCAATTACGTTGAAGTGCAAAATAAGGTTGTTTGTTTTCTTTGATGGAATGGAATAAAATTTTTATGAAGGAATGTGATAGAATGGAATGGAATGAAAAACTATGATGTATACATTTTTATTTATAAACTTTTTAACGACATGAATATGATAATTTTTCGAGCTATTTTCTAGACATTTTCTATAAAAAAAAAATAGAAAATAGAATTCCACTATGATAATTATTGGGCTTTAGTGTATAATATCGATATCTTATTTAAAATTTGAAAATTTTTTAAAATGTAAGTTTGGTGACTTTCTTATTTACATTCTCTGCTTAGAGGATTATGTATCGGAGTTTAAATTGTCCAGGAAAGTTGACCAAATAGACCTCAAATAGTGTCGATCCCTGTGGAGATCATTGGAAAGGTGTGATCTGTTCAGGTTCATTAGTGACAAAAAATGTATGCTAAATCTCAATGCCCAAATCTGTACATTTTTATACATTTTGTTTTATAGTTCTTTTAACTTTTTTTTGAGTCTTTGGTACTTCAAACTGAATATTATTATAAAAAACATTGTCTTATGTTTCTTATGGTTAATTGCATGGAATGCTTGAATGTTGATAGATTTTTGTTGTTAAAGAAATAATCATAAGTAGGTTTCTATAATAAGCTATCATATTCAGGTAGATTTTCAAACATATAATATCTAATAAGGATAATTTTTTATAAAGTATAATGCTATGATTAGGTAGATTTTCTATCTATATCAGAACCTCTAACCGGAAAAACGACATTGAAGATTCTAATTTGATTCTTGCTCTTGCTTATGTCTTGATCATCACAGGTTCGTTTTCCCCAGGAAACACCTCATATGCTTCACTCTCCAACACCGTCTCTCTCAACAAATGTTAACGCACACGGACATCCTCTTTCTCTTCCTGTTAGTTCATCTTTTTACTTAATGATTTCATGTCGCTATTCGTAAACCTGAATGATCTGCAGTTTGTTTTTTTCTTATGCTGTAAAGATTCAAGGTGGAAAGTGCCAGTCGACAACGTCATCAGATATGTGAAGGGTTTTGTCTTGGAAACACGAGTCCCCTGATGTTGACGCCGCACTTGCATAGAATGTTACGAGGAGGCGATCGCCACTGAGGAAGAATTGAAGCATGATATCGAAGAGGTAAAATCAAAAGTTAAGTTTCTCCGATCCCAAATTGATCTACGAATGTTCCGTCACCTTTACAATCAGGTATGAAAAAATATTGTAGGTTTACGAAAAAAAAACTTACCCACCTTTTTACTATAGCCATAAAAGTCCTTGGTCAAAATGTGGTGGGTTGACCTACAGACAATTTTTCAACCCGTGTTGAGATTGGATGAATAATTAAGGGACATTTGCATAAAATAGAAATGTCATTTACTTTTTTTATTTGTCGTTATAATACTCTAATATTATTTTTATTATATGATTATCTGGCTTCACACTTTGTTCGAGACCATGCCAGAGAGCATTGTGCCTTCCGTGGTCCTAAAAAATAGAAAAGAATCGTTCGTCTCTTTTTTTTCTACACTACTCCAGGCACCAAGTATTTTTACTTGACCACTTTGCCCTTGATAAAAAAATTATTTTTAATGTTGATTAAACATTCACTCCAATATGTTGACTTGGTAAAGTAAATGATAGTTTTGCATTTTTTAACCATAGATACTTTTTTTCCATTCAAACCATCAAAATGGATAACTTGGAAAAAAAAGATTTCATTGGGTCCAACTAAATTGAAAAAAATGATTTGATTGTGCCACGTGGAGAACCTATCACTATTGAAACATTTTTCGCATGGAGAGAAAATTTTGAAGCACAAATAGCCCTTCAGAGAGCCAAATAATTAACAGAGTTTGTTATTTTCCACAATTTATATAATTATTAATTACTACCCTCCCACTTTCAGGCTATTACTAGAATCAGCTCTTACTACAAGCAAAAAAAAAACTCACTGGAAGACAATGGTTCCAAAGTGGAAAAGCTTCTGCAGTAAGTTATTCTGTTTATGACTTTATGCTGATGTGGCATTGATGACTTCAAATGGCAATGATGTGGCGATGACATGGCATTAATATATATTTTATATCAATCATGGAAGGATCTAATGATGAAGAGGAAGATGATGATTTCGATGATGATTCTAAAGGTTTGTTTTCTCACTATTTTTTTCTCTATTTAAATACTTGTCAATATATGGAATTTATTTTGAATATAATGTCTGTTTGGTTGCAATATTTGACGTGTTACCATGTTGTTGACTAAGAACCACCACAGATTGATGAAGTCATACTCAGAATTTTGTCTATATCTAGAGTGCATTCCTCTGGTTTTTCCAGGTGATATCAGAGTTTCAGTACATTTTTGTGCCTAGAATCACACAAATTTACTAAACCTAACTTTGATTTCTATCAGTGATGCAAGATTTAGTGGTGGTGGACTGCTTATACAGTCGGAGATGCAACATGGTTCGATGAATATGGTGGCAGGTGCTCAGAATGTGAATGGGGTTGCAGTCAGTGGACCTGAAGAGTATTTGGGTAATTCGAGGTTTTCCTATTAGGTTACTCATGGTTATGGCAATGGTCCCTCAACTATATTTGGGTCATTTTAAAGTTGCTTCCTTTTTGTCTTTTTTGGTCCCTCTACTTCCGTTGGTTATTTGTGGCATTATAGGTTCCTATGTTTTCGTTTAATTGTCACTTTATTAGTTTTGCTTACAGATTCATTGATCTTTTTTTATTTCTTATTTATTTGTTTATCTATAGATCAGTTAAAGAGGGAAGGAATGAGCAACTCAAACTATAAACATTTTCAAAGAACAAACAACGGAAAAAATTATCGCATCCGACCCAACGCGGGGGTTCCCCATCTAGTTATGATATAAATATTATATATTAAAAACTATATGTACTGATATATAATAATTCAATAAAAACGAATTACTTCGACAAAAAAATTAAAAAAAATATAATTAACTAAAATAAATTAATAATCCAATAAAACAACATTTAGTATATGAAGAAAATAATAAATTAAAAGTAATAATACAATAAAAAATAATTAAAAATTACAAAAATTAACTAAAAAATTGATAATCCAATAATATAACATTTATTATGATATAAATATTATATATTAAAAATTATATGTATTGATATATAATAATTCAATAAAAAAGAATTACTCCAACAATTATTTTTAAAAAAATCAACTAAAATAAATTAATAATCCAATAAAAAAATATTTATTAATATATAATATATATATATATATATATATATATATATATATATATAATATATAATATTATATATTAAAAATAATATCTATTAATATATAATACTTCATTAAAATAAAAAAGAATGTATGCAAAAATGGTCTTTATAGTATAGTAAAAGACAAAACTACGAAAATGGTCCCTGGGGTTAAAATTGTCATTTTAAGGAAGTTAACGGATGAGGGACTAAAACCACAACAAAAGTTGTTGAAAAGGATCAAATCTACAACTTTTCAAACGTTTGGACCGTAGCCACATAAAATGAGAAACTACAGGGACCGTTTTTGCAGTTTTGTCCCTGTAAAATTACAAGATGTACAATAGAAGTACAATATTAATAAAAGTTAGTTACACTGCAAGGATTTTGGACACGAGCATTGTCGGATGGTAGATCCCAAATACTTCAATGATTAACATGCTCGACGACACAACAAGGGTTTAAGTTTATTATCTAAATTAATAATAGAAAATTTAAGAAAATAGTTTTACAAAACAATTTATGATTATGAATAATTTTAAAACTAAAATACCACGTTACTGCATATATGTTTAAGTTTATTACATGGTGGGATGTCAAGTCCACCAAGCAAATTACACCCTTTGTTTGCAAATAAAACGTAATATAATGGTAAAAAGGGGTATCGATCCTCGGGGAAATGGTTGTATTCAATCACCAATGCAATCTAAAAGAACTATTGTAAATAAACTAACTAACTACAATTAAACAAAAAGGGGGGGGGGTTATGATTGCTTGAAAACTAAAAGACTTAAATAACTAAAAACTTGCAATTAAGCAAGATAGTGAGATGCTCAAATGTTGGGGAACAATTGGTTAACCAAGGCAATTCAACACAATGAACATTTGTGTGCTTATCATTAGGATTCAACATGAAGCTTATCATTCATCCCAAATTGGTTATAGCAATCATGAAGCATGATATGCCAAGATTCCTCTTAGGTAGTATGGAGGTTGGGGAAGCCCACAACACACCTTCTTAATCAAGATCAAGGGTTTAATTGAAGCAATTGGACCCAAGAAGTTAATTAGCCTTAAGAAAGAAGGAATCCCTAATTCCTAGAGGATGTCAATGCTTACACATCCATAAAGGAGCTATGATTCATAAACTAGAGATGATTTTTACCATCATAAAGCCCTTGTTCTAAGTTAATTCAATGATTCAATGCAAAACCAAAGAAATAAACTAACAATAGCTCATTCAAGTGCCAAGCTCATGATCAAAGCATTAAACAAGCATAAGAAATATGATCTAGAACCATAAACATAAGATAATTGATAATCTAGCATGAATCCTTCAAAAACCCACAAACATTCAAAGGTTTTAACCAAAGTTAACCAATATAGAGAAATTAGCCACTCATGGCAATAGAACAACAATCACAAAAGTCTAATCGCATAAAGAAACTACCTAAGACTTGGAAAGATGAAAGGAAATGGGTTTCTAGCTCCAAAATCGCCTCTTCCAGGTCTCCAATGGTGTAAAATCGAAGTTATGGCTGCTAGATCTGATCCCCCAAGGTAATGGCAAGCCAAATGACCAAAATGCCCAAACTGGGTAGTTGCGCGGGTACCCGCGCGACGAAAATTCTACTCGAGCAAATGTTGCTGTAATGCTATTGGTCCTTCATTCCACCACTCCACCCTTCCACTACCAAAGATTCCTTTGGTCCCCTCCATATCCATGTGATTCAAATCAACCAATCATCTTTTAGCTTCAAATGTGGATGCTCCAAACCCAAATTAAATATCCATGATCCATCTTCACAAGCCCAAAATATCCAAGTCTTCAACTCTTTAAGGCCCAATTCTTCTTTGTTGGATCCGCCAAGCCCAATAATGCATCGAAAGCCCACAAGTCCGTCTTCACTCTAATCCACAATCGCGATAAGCTCCAAAACCCTGCAAAATACCTCATGCAACATAAAAAGCACCCGGTACGATCCATACTAAAGAAAAATAAATAAAATACAATGCAATAATGATAAAAAGATCTAAAACTCTAAAATAAACTAATAAAAATAAGGAAATAAAATAAGCTATCATTACAACACAAGTTTTTAGTATCTTTAATTCTTTTTATTTCAATAATATCCTAACAATTATAAAATATACTATATATGTATAATTATAAAGAATCAGCTTAGTGTAATGAAGCATTACAACATTTGGGTTTAAGTTTTTTTAAATTTATTTAATTTGATTTTATAAATAATATTAATTTGATTTTATAATTAATTTAAATTGATTTTATAATTAATTTAATTTGATTTGAAAATTAAGTTAATTTGTCTTTCTAATAATTTAATATTTTCTTTTTGTTATTAGTTTAATTTTTTCATAATTTAATTTGATTTATAATTAATGTTAATTTGCTTTTATAATTAATTTAATTTGATTTTATAATTAATTTAATTTGATTTGAAAATTAACTTAATTTGATTTTCTATTTAATTTCATATTTTCTTTTTTGTTATTATTTTAAATCAGAGATGCGTCCAGTGGGGACACTTTAAATCACCAATGTAGACCATAGTGCACGAAGGAAAGGCGCCTCTTCACACACTATGATTCCTAGATTTATCAGGCTAAAGTGTATAGTACGAAATAGGGCTTTGCAGCGCGGCCTCCGGGCAAACATCCGGTTTCAGAGGTTTCTCCCTTGTACTGTCCTTTACAGTCTACCGTCTCATCGTCAAGGCCTTTTCTCACCAAAAATCAAAAATAAAATAAAATAATAAAAATTCTACTTAACCTAAACTTAAACCTAACAACTTAAATCTTTAATCTTGAACTTCGGTTATTTGGTCTTTAGCCTCTTTGTTGCTTGATATTCAGTTTTTTTTTTTTTTTTTTTTAATCTAGAAGTCTTGAACTTGGAGTCTTGTTCTTCTTTTTGTGTTGCTCTTTTTCTTCATTTTTCTTTTTTGTTTTTGTTGCTTTTCTTGAATCTTTTTCATTGTTTTTTTTTTCCAATTTCTTCATTTTCCTGCGTTTTCTTCTTGGAAGGTCTAAGGAATTTCACCATGTAACATAGGATGGAGGCTAACATGAACACCTAATGATCATTGACAATGTGCCAAGGTCAACTAAAAAGGGTGGGAAATGACTCAAAAATTGGTGTTACCGAAAAGACTTGGTCCCAAAAGATGTGAATTGGGGGACCCACTTCAAAGTTCATCAAGCACCTTAATGCAAGGTGTGATAAACAAAATCTATCTAACTATCTACTCTAGACTCCTAAAAAAATAACCTATCTTAAAAAGGTGGTGAGAATCTAACTAAGCAGGGCTCGGACGAGACTCGGGAGTACTAAAGGGTACTCCCCCCAAAACCAAGATGCGAGTCTTCAATATCTTCAATGTCTTCATAATGCCTTACTGGGCTAATCTTTGCTCGCACACATTGGCATGACCAACCACATCCCTCCGCACCTAGACCCAATCAAGCTACCTGCATCTGACCCCCACACAAGCGGTCTTAAAATGGTCTGTGAGGCTCAAAACGTGTCCCACTTATCAAATACAAGGAATTCCATATCAAGACCCGGGACCAATCTATGATTCAATACTTATGACTCGGTGCTCTGGTACCTGTAAGGATGAGAAGACAAGAGAGAACAAAAATGCATGAACTTAAACTAGAATGCATCTAAAAAGAATGAAAATTAGAAAAGAAAGAAAGAAAATATGCAATATTTTTGGAATTTTTTATGCAATTTTTATGAATGACCTAAATGCCTTACTCTAAATGCAACTATATACAACCTAAATGCAATAAAAAAAATAAAATATAAGAATACCTCACCCCAAGCTTAAAATTAAGCATTGTCCTCAATGCTTAGGATGAGAGTAAGGAAGGATCATACCGGGATCAAGGTGGAGGAGGCCCGCGAGGACGGTATGGAAGCAACACATGGGTTGTACAATGATGTGTGGATGGAGTTCTTGGCCACCTAAATACACATGGATGAAAGCTTGGTCGCGCAAAGGAAGCATATGCAATGACTCAAAATTTTCTTATGAAGTGACACATTTGCGCGGGTACCCTCGCAAACTTTACGCGGGTGGTGGTTGGGTCGCGCAAATAAAGAATTAGCATCATTGGTCTCGCAAAGAAAGGGAAGGATTTGGTCTTGGCCGCGCAACAATCTGTGAGGGTGGAAGGCATCCGCGTAATTAGTTGCGAGGGTGGCAGTCGGCCGCGCAGAACTTGCGCGGGTGGGGGAGCCGGCCGCGCAAACTAATCAGATGCAACCCCATGTTGG